TTTTTTCCCTTCCAGTGCACAACTGTCGTACCATAGTCACAGCATTTGCCATGCCAGCATCTGAGATCTGCCAATCACCTCCAGTGGTCCAGGGCAACCACAGCCCTATGCAACCATGACAGCCAAGTGCTCCACTCCAGTGAGAATCCCAATGAAAGGAATTATGAAACCAAATAATACGCAACCACTAGGGGGCCCCAAGACATTAACTATTCACAGTATTATAGTTGTACACTAGCAAGGCAACCATAATTCACTTATTTACTCACTCTTGAGGGCACTTAGTGCCAAAAAACCCCAACCACCCTCCCAGTTCCAGAGGTTGCGCAAGCCAGCCAGCTGCCAGCCTCTGTGTGCTGTTAATACTCACTCGCCTTGATTGAATGAAACCCATGCCAGGCACAGAAAATCACAAGGTTTTCACTGCACAATGTTTACAAGACTGTGGCAGCACCACCCATGCCAAAAATCTAGCTACCCTCATACCCTGCAGCACCAATAAAAAAACTTAAAACAATGAAAGCAAACACTTGAATGCCAGCACAGTGGTTCCACCCATGCCAAAAATCTAGCTACCCTCATACCATGCAGCATATATAAAAAAAACAAGCAGTTAGCAGCAATAAAAAAGATTTAAAGCAATAAAAGCAAACGCTTGAATGCCAGCACAGTGATTCCACCCATGCCAAAAAATCTAGCTACCCTCATACCATGCAGAAGCAATACAACAACTTAAAGCAATATATAAAAGCAAGCAGTTAAATGGCAGCCCTGGGAACAGTTGGCAGCAGCCACCGAACATTGCAATGGGCATGCTCACACCCAACAGCAGGCCCCATGGCAAAGCTTCCACAGCCATCAGTTTGTCCAGCTAGTTCTCCGACAAAAGTGTGGTCGAAGTGGAGAATATTTTACACGACGAACTGACTGCAGTGCAGGAGTTGGCAAGCTGGGAAGAGCCTTTGGTGTCTGATGGCCTTTGGTCGCCTGAAGATGTAGCCGGGCAGCAGACGGAAGCGGAGTTGAAAGATGAGTTGTGGGAAGCAGTCTGCGCGGCGAACGAGAGTGGCAGCAACAAATCCACCATCCGCCGCTTCGGAGCGGCTCGTGTGCAAAGAGTGCCAATTCTGGATCCTCCAACTGTAGCATCCAGAAACCAGCTTGTTCGCGAAGACCAGCCGTATTACATTGTTGCTGGTTTTGTGAAATTGTTTGCCCTTGGATACGGAGATTTCTGGGCACATCTGCGTCAGCGGCAAGAAGAGAACCAGCAACCTTTGTCTTTCTGGGAATGGCTAAAGCATTTGCTTTTGCGCTCTGATGGCAGGTTTCAAGCCCATCCCCGGTTTTATTTCTTTGCGTTGAACACTGCTCTGAGGAACAAGGCGTTGCGCGCCCGAGGGTACTTCATGAAGCGGCAGCAAGGAGCCAGCAATAATGTAGCGTACACCACTGAGGAACTTTTCAACGTGGGTAAAGCTCAGTTCACCAAGATCGTTTCCGCTTTCGAACATTCCATGGCTGGCTCTGCACAGGAGAAGTTGAGACAACGCAGTGACTTAGAGGCCATGGTGGAACAGATTGAGCAAGAGACCTTGCAAGACCAGGCTCACGCTTTGTTACAGTCTTGGCAGACCGCTGACCTAGCTTGCAAACTGCTTGAGCAGCAAGGGTGCGCTGCTGCCACGGCGGAGCTGCAAGCTGCTTGCCTCGCTGCAAAAGCTGCTGTTGAGAAAGTGTTGTCGCCTGAAACCATAGAAGCCCAAGCCAAGCCTTCCGTCTCGCGCGTCGATGTGAACCGCGGGATGGACGAAGCAGCTCAAGCCGATGTCGCGCGCGTCGATGTGGACCGCGCGGCAGAACCCTTGCAGCAAGAATTTGAAGTCAGTTTTCCTGAGCAAGATAGTGCTTTTGTAGGTTCAAGGCCTGGTTCCGGGCGCAAGACCCTTGAAAGTTTGTTGTCTGAAGTGCAACAGCGCAGTTTGTGCGTGCAAGGCGGTGGCGAGATCCCGTGTCATTTCAGCACATTGACCACCGCCATCTACCATTGGGACGACCTTGCCCAATGTTTGGAGCACCAGTACGAAAGCGGCGGGGCGACAGAGCGGATCCTTTGGAACCAGCAGAACGGCAGTTAGCGCCGGAACGCCGGCGAGTCATCCGCTACCCGGGCGTTGTCGCCTGGTTCACGGCTTACCTTTTGGAACTGTTCTTCTAACACGTGCTGAGGTACGAGGACGGGCAAGGTGTGTTCGAGTGGGGCGCAGGCGGAACCATGCACTTGCATTCGATCAACTTTGGATCATGCATGCCCCGTGTCGATCCAACCGCAGCAGGGATGCAGCAGCCAGATGAAAAGACAGCCGAGATATCCGCTCAGTTTGCTGAAATGCACGAGGAGTATTTGACCCATTGGAGCTTTGCAAAAGCCGAAAAGAAGTTTTTTGCCTTCTATCTGGGGTTGCAAAATGTAACCAGGGTGTCGTCATTTGAGGTGCCCCGGCCCCTACCAAGAGTAGCTGCCAGACCACTGCAAACACTTGGAAGGTGAACGATGCCCTTGGCACTTTAGGTGTTTCTCTCAGGAAAAAGCCTGGGGTGAGCCCAAAGAGTGTTCGCTGTGGATGTGGAGTTGAAATGCGCTTGGAGGATTTCGAGATGCATGAATGTACTGTAAATAGCAGCGATTTGGCCGGGCACACCCACGCGCTTCATCGATCTAAGCATCAGCTGCTGTACACCTACCGTAAGTAGCAGCGCAGTTATTTGTTCACGGCGCATGTAGCTGTGCACGTTGTGTTTAAAGTGGTATGCGTTTACGTTTTGTACTTTAACTTTGGTTTTGTGGAGAGTCCAGCCACCCACCCCCCCCGAAAAAAATCAAACGTCTTCCAACGGTTCACCCAGTGGTTCACCCAACATTGTTACTTGGTTATTTCACACTGAACTTGCATACCATTGACCATCCTGGGAAAAGATTGTGTCACACCATGGTTTAAAAACCTGAGGGTTTCATTCATGCGTTTGACCGAAAACGTCATTGCTTGATTTTCGCGCCGGCTGCAAAAACTCTGGTCTCCAAAGTCAGTCAATGTCTTCGACATCATTATCCACTTCCTTCTCTTCTTCCTCGCCACCTTCGGCGGCCTCATCTTCAACATCCGGAGCCATTTCGCATAATACATCTCAGAAACGGGTTCATGCTGTTTGCGTCAGACTGCTGCCAACTTAGCAGTTGATTCTGCATGTCAACCCCAGACTCGAGCTGAATGTATTTCTGGTGCTTCTCACAAAGATCGGCAACGGCCTTCTTGCCACGTACAAACCTCTGCTCCAAGTACTTGACATCAAGCGCTCCCTGACCAGTCAAAAGTAAATGAATGCATCAGTGAACGAACCGACAAATTAGTTTCAACGTGAGATGTTTCTGCGAATGAAACTGAGTCTTTGGGCCTGTCGATTGCAGTGGTCCTGTGCCCCTTCCAAGTACCGCCCAAGATTGGCCAGGTCAGACTGCAGCTTTGATTGCGTCAGACTGAAGCTGGCATCAGCTAGCTTAGCAGCAATCCTTGCACACAGCAGGACCACGGCAATGACCAAGAATGACCAGCTGGCAAACAGTTCAATGCCAAAACCCAAAATCAACGATCCAAAAGTAAACACTAGCAATCTCGTCTTTGTTGCATCCGGAGCTCTGCTCATCTGCCTTTGTTTTCTCCTCTTCAACCTTCAAGAAGGCTAGCTCAAACATGTTTTCAGTGAAGAATGAACACAACTGAGTTGAACGGGCCTCCTTGTCATACCGCCTCAACGTGGCTCGAAAGATTGCCAGCTTGGACAAATCTGCTGGTGGAACCGTCTCGTCCAGCAACGCAGAAAAATCGGAATCTGCGTGGCGCAACAAGAACCTGAGCTGCAGGGACTAAGCAACAAAGGAAACGCCAGAAGCGAGACAGCGAGACACAATCAAGCAAAGCAACGCCTTTTCCAAATTCGGCCGCTCTTTGGCCACAAATGCAGTTGGAAATTTCTTGCCAAACTCCGCAAGGGCATGTACAAATGCACAGCAATATCGCTGGAGGAATTCCTGAGATGGATGTTATCTAAAACCTGGAGCGGCAAACTCAACAAACACAAAAACCCTTAACATCTTTTATGGGATCAAAGGCTCAACATCTTTGCTTCCAAATGCTCGACGCATCTTTACATTCATGTTTGCGTAATCTGATTTCAAACGCTTGCACATCCACATAACAGTTTCTTCCGTGTTGACCAGCTGGTCAGACCATCCGGAGCAGTTTCCTGCTGCCCCGCAGAAACCTGTGTTGAAATATCCTTCGGCGATTGATTCATGAGTTATGAAGCGGTGCATAGTCCAGGTCCTTACCGAGATGTGTTTCCAGATTCACTAGTACCTAAACTCGCAGAGAAGCAGTGGGTGATATTATTGCTGAATAGGTTCGCAACCATGTCGCACAATTCCTGCGTAACTTTGGGACTGATGTTCTTGAGCAGGTTTATTGCGGCGCCGCTCTCTTGGCGGCCTATCTTGTAGGCTTCGGCCAGCTCCTTCCGAGTGGAAAATGCCTCCGGATCAATCAGGCAAGCGTCAATCGTCGAATCGTCATATTAACTCTGCAATACTTTTCGTGAGCTTTCTAATGATTCTGACAACTACAATCATACAAATTGGCGTCACGCCTGCTCCAAATCATAGCCCGGTTGGATGCGACACATGAGGCGAAATTGATGCAGCAAATTGAATGCATTTGGGCGCCGGCGTATAGTCGCGCCAAGGGTGATTCCTCATGAACAGTCAAACGCAGACTTGTCTTGGTCTTATCATCATGTAGTATCATGTATTGTATCACAAGATGTAGCTTCAAGCGACGCGCACGACTTGAAAGAAACAATTTCACAACGGGCAGCCTTGGTTTTCTTCGACCAAGTTCATGGGAGAGCCAGTGCCAGGCACGCAACAAACGGTGGCGTGGATTGATCGAAATCCCCTTGGCATCGACAGAAACCCTGTGCGGACTCAGGGTCATTCCCATCAAACAGCTGGTACAAACTTAGATTCGTGCTGCTGCAAGTCCTTCGGCCAAGCCTTCAAGGTATGAAATGACACTTGAGAAACAGAATGAATGAACCTGATTCATCATCTTCTATAAACATATCGCGCCTCACGGAAATCACTGCATTCAAAACTGCACGCCATAATCAATGTGCTGCAAACCGTTCTCGTCCATCCCTTGACTAAGTAGGTTTGATGAGGCCCCAAAGAAGAACTGCCCAGATCAGCGCCAACATCGGAGAGCTCCAACGAGATCGGCGGGCAAAGGCCCAGATCTGGTCTCAGAGCTGACACGGCCAACTTCTCCACTCCAGCTTGTGTAGAAGCGTCGGTTTTGTACCTTACTCAAATTAGGAAGCAAAAACTTATAAGTCCCCCAGTGATAAATCACCATCGTGAGAAGAACGTGCGCAAAGGCAATGGTCAAGGAGCCCCTTGACCAAGATTGACTGACAGAGAAGCGATGCTTGGTCCTGATTCAAAAAATGGCAGCGCACCAAGAACAAAGCCCTCCCAAAAAACAAAACACGAACAACAACTGCACTCGATGATTGCCATGGGTCAGGTTCCACCATGCCTTTCAGCCCACAGCATGGTGCCCACGGCGCATGATAGGGCCTGAGAATGACGCCTCCAGGCGTAGAGAGTGAGCCGGAAGAAGCATAGTGCCTGAAACCACAGTGAACTCTAGTACGGCCAACCGCAGGATACGACAAGGCCCTGGCACTCCACTCTCAGGAGGAAAGGCCCCATGCATCCAGGACAAGAATTTCCCCAAGCGATCCTGCGCGTCCAGAGAAAGTGGTCATTTCCAGAGAAGTCAAGCGGACACAAAACTGATGCAGACGGTAAGGGCCCTTACCGTCTGCTTCAGTTTAGTGTCCTCTTGACCTGTTTTGGTTCCAACGACTCAGCAGTTCGCACGTAGTCCTTGGTCCCAAACGCATGGTTGAGGTACTTCTCGACAGAGGAATGTTCTGCCAGCATCTTCTTCCTAGCGGCTAACAAAATTTGGACAACCTGAACATACAAATTTTTCAATTCCACTTCATTTGAACTTGCAAGCCAATCGCATAATTTAATGCGACTATGTATCAACCAGTCGTCAAAGATAGCCACGTGAGCGCCAGAAACATCTGGCTTGGCAACTGCCGGAGAACCTGCTTCACTAGCGCTAGCCTTGATTGCCTTTTTAGCACTACCACCACCATCATTGCTCTTCCGCTTGGCACCCATGGCAAAAACTGATACCGACTGGGCTTGAAAAGTCAGCTCCTTCAAACAGAAAGCATACAAATCATCAACTGTGAAACTGCCGCAAGAGCTGGGCAGCGCAACAAACTTACTGCCTTCCTGTGAACACATGAGTTCATTGACCGAAATTTAACAGTAAACCTGGGCTACACTCTTCTCCTCCGAAGCCCCACAATTTGTAGCTGTCACTGAAAGGTGTGAAAACACCTGGCTGTTTCAAGATTAATTACAAATTGAAAGCGAAAGGCGGTGACGTCACCGTCCACCGTTGTCGGCGAACCTGGCCAGCGCAGGTCATTCAAGGTCATTCACAAAAAAACACATCGCCTGAATTGTTTGCAACAGGTGTGTCGAGTTGGAGTGCAACACTTTTGAACATGTGAGCGACACAGGTAAGCTTTTCCGAAAACTGCGAGTTGATGATCACACTCAAAGCACTGGCACCAGTCAACATATACAACTTGATGGTTGGGCTCAGATATAACCAAATAGACTGATCAAAAGAGTTAAGCTAGTAGTGAAAAGGGCGAAAGATTTCTTTTTCACGGCGCGTGATCTCTCCACCTAAAAATGTTTGCAGCCTGTGATCGAACAGGTCAGGTTTTCTGCGGCCTGCGATCGAACATGTCAGGTTTTCTGCGGCCTGTGATCGTACAGGTCAGGTTTTCTGCGGCGTGTGATCGAACAGGTCAGGTTTTCTGCGAAGCTTCCCTCGAACACAACACTTGTTTCTAATTAGATTTTTTCTAAATTTTATCAAAAGAATATAGACTTTCTGATGAGGCAATCGTAGAACCTGAGTTTTGTGAT